GGGTCAGGAGAGGTCTGCTGCGCCATGTGGGTCACCTCCGGGGCAGGCGGGGATGGAACTCCTGCTGCAGTGGCTTTAGCGTCTTAGTGCTGTGCTGTAACCCGCTGCGCCCCCCACGAGAGCCTGGAGCTTGGGCTTTTTAAAGGAACACACCTGAGAGTGAGCAGTAGCAGTGGCCGGGACGGGGATGGGCCCAGCTTCCCAGGAGTCTCCTGGCGGCACATTCCGCTGTTTCCAGACTTCATTTGTTCCATCTTCCCCTCAAGCTGATTGTCAGACACAGGCCCAGCTCTGCTCCACTGTCGCCACGTGCTTTTTCTCTCTTTATTATTCTGCATCGCATTCTTTTAATTTCTTAATTTAGTGCTAACTACTTGGATTTTTAATGATCCCTTTACCACATAGTTCCGAAGCTTGATCCAGCCTGGTTATTTTCATCTCTCTGATTACTATTTTGGGTGAGTGTTGCCGCCAGTAATTTCCAACTGATTTTAACTTTGTGGAGACGGTGCAGTCACTGTGAAATCACTGTGGATTATAATCTATTTAGGATGATTTAATCTTTTGTTTTGCAGCCCCAGGCTGTCGGACCTTCCTGGCTGGTCCTTAAAGGACGGGAACCCTTTCCTGGACAAGGTAACGAGGGCTGTAGCATGTGGACACCGGCCGAGCCGCCTTGTCATCGCAGAGCCCGGGCCCTGTGGCGGCAGGGTCACGTGTGCCCTCCTCTGCGGGCACTCCCTGCAAAGCCTAGGTCCCTGCAGGGGCTTCGGCCCCTGCTGGTTGTTGTCTTTCAGATTCTCTTAGGGGTCTCAGTTCACATGCACGCTCAGTTTGCTCCTGCGTGAAAGTCTGAGAACTGCTGCTGCAAATACTTTTTATCACCACAGAAAGAAACTAGTATTTTTAGACTTTCAGTGAGACTGAGAAAGGCGATGCTTATTAGAGAATTCCATCCAGCTCGTTTCACTTTGAGGCTGACTGGAAGGAGTGAACTTTTCTTTTTTTCTTATCGCTTCCTCGGGTATGCGAAGCTCAAGCTGCTCTGCCAGGTAGGGCTTTTGTAACAAGGCAGGTGGCTCGATGGGTGATGGGAGCCACGATGCCCTCCAGCTGCCCTGTGGGGAACAGACCTAGTGGGGATGGAGTTTGGGCGCATTGGCAGGCACCTCTGAGCAGGGCTTTCCCGACTCAAACCTGTAGTTCTGATCCAGCCTCTCCTGGAGCCTGGGTGCCCAGTCTAACGGCGGGGACAGGTGCACGCTGTCCCGGGGTCTCACAGGGCTGGAGTCATCACCCCAAAGCAAATGCCTTGATTATGTTTTTTCCCAAGGCTATAAAATTTTTTCCTTAGATTGTCATCACAGTAGGTTCTTTGTCAGATCAGTGTCAGGCAGTTAACTTAAAAATGAGAGACCAAAGGTACAAAAAAGGTTAAAACTAAAATCTAGTCAAATTTTATAATGAAAGAAAAAAACCAAAAGCAAGGGAAGGTTAAAAATGGTCAGGCCCCCTCAGGCCACCTTTCCGTCTGACTCCTGCTTCCCCTGCCGTGTCTTGCCACTGGCGTGGGCCTAGGTCCAAAGACCCTTCGCAAGGTCCATCCAGTAAAGCATTTCCTCGCGACAGACACTGTCACAGAAGAGGTTCTCCCTTCACAGAATTAACTCCTGTCGCTCACCGCACTCAGTCAGGCCAGTGCCCAACAGGAAGCAGACCCCGCCCAGCTGACCACGAGCTGTGGCGCTCCGAACCTGTGCCCCTGATGTCAGCTGCGCTCTCCTGCCTGCAGGTCACCGCCCCGAGAGCCGCAGCCAAGAGCCCAGGGACTGTAGCAGCGCCCTGGTAAGCAGGGAGAGCAGAGGCTGCAGGCTTCTCGGGCAAGGACAGAGGCCCGCCTGGGAGGACACTGCCCCAAGGCGCAGCATTGTGGGGAGCAGGGATCACGCAGCTGGTCCTGGCAGGCAGAGCGCCGAGACGCCCATGATTTGTCTTCAGTCATCTTAAACCTCCTCCTGAGGGAGCTGGGAGTCTTCTCCCATTAAACATAATTGCTCATTTGTTCTTAGCTGGCAGGTCCGTTGTAATTAAGAACCGTTTTCAGTGTCTTCTTGGCTCAGCCCTGCGCTGGTTAAATGGGGTTCAGATCAGAACAGGAGTCACACCAAGGGTGGGGGGACGCGCCCCCCAGGTCCCGCTAGGAGACTTGTGGAATGCACATGGATAGTAACAGATAGTTCTTACCCTACTGTCAGATAAAGATGGAGACTCCGATCTAGCAATACGAGACAGACAGTGATTGATTAAAATTACATAACTTTCTTTTCTGGAAAATGGTCGACCCACTTCTACTTTTTCCTGGTTTCTGCAAGGTCACAGATCACTTTAGCCCTGACGGAGTGAAAAGTCCTCCATGTTTCAATCTCAAGCGTCACCAGGGAAGTCAGCCATGGCGGGGACCGCAGGAGGCTCTGTATAGACCCTGTTGGCGACCGGTCCCCTGCGCCAGGCTCTCAGAGTTCCCGGGCCAGTGCCTGTGTGGCTTTGCCTGAGGGCTTCTTCCCGAGGGTGCACAGTGGCCTCAGCACCCCGGCTCCCGCGCACTTTCACTCCAGGTCTCGTCCTCATCGCCCACCGTGGCCTGTGGTCAGTACACAGCCATGACCAGCCACCTTCCTGCCCTTTCTCACTTGCCCTCGTCCTGTAGCTTTTCCAGCACCTCCCACGCAAGTGTGGACTCTCCTCTCCTCAGGGTCCATTTGCGAGGGACTCCGACCTGGACACACCTGTTAAACAGTAGCCCGTGCGCGCAGGGGGCACCTGCCCTGTTTTCTCTTCAGAAGGTACTTGAGATCCAGGTTCTGTGACGCCAGCCCCCGAGCGCCTGGTGCCTTCGGGCTTAGATGGGGCCCGGATCGCGCCCGGCAGGTCCCACAGCTGCGCGTGGCTGTGTGGGCTGCGTGACCGAGCTGGCACCGCCGTCGGCTCTCGGGCCTGAAGCAGCGCGTGCCCTGCGTGGCTGCCTCAGACAGCGTCGCGTGTGCCTTCCGGGCCGAGTCACACAGCGCGGGCCCCTGCAGGCCTCGCCTCCCTGAGCCGGTGCGGCCAGCAGTTCCCCCAGTGACTGCCCAGCCTTCCGGCTCGCGGTCTGGGAAGTTGGGCTTGGGAACGAAATGTCTTTGGGGCTGTAACTGTGGGATATCTCATCCTGGAACTTTCCCCTCTTGTTTCTTTAAGGAGCTAAAGGAGTGCTCGGGTCATGTATTTGTGGATTCTGTGCCGGAATTCTGCTTACCAGAGGTAAGATGAAAGAATCTCATTGTGGAAACAAAGCATGAAATAACCTTCAGGGGCTTTGCTTCCTTAAAATTGAACAAACTGAAATCTGTTCCTCAGGCGCATTGGCAGGCAGTTAAAGGGGGGGCACTGAGGGGCTTTTCTCCTTCTTGCCCCTCCTGTACCCCATGGGCACTTGCAGGCGCCGCTTCTGCGGCGTCAGTGAGGGCGTCCTGATGCCTGTGTCCGGGATTGACTGGCTGGTCCCGCTCTTGCTCACGGGGCTCCAGCGTCGCTGTTACCTGGCCGGTGCAGCACGCTGGGAAGGTCCTGACGGGCCTGAAGCATCACACTGAATGTGGCTGAAATCCATGGCTAACCCAAGTTGGGCTGGCGGTCTCTTCCTCGTCCCTCTCGCAGTGAGACTTGCCAGAGTTTGGGGCCAGTTTCTTTGTTGTAAAGGAAACGAAGGTCAGTTTCCACTAGTCCTGTGGGAAATCACCCTCACCTGCCCCGCCCCGGCCGGGAGGCCTGGATGGAGCTCTCCTCAGATGACAAGGCGTGAGCGAGCCGAGGGCAGCTCAGGGCTCGGGGGCGTCAGCGGGGAGCCCCACCCCGCGCTTTCCAGGCTGGTGGACCACAGAGCTCGGAGGAAGTGCTTCGGCCGCTCCGTGCTGGGGGAGGCCCTGGGGGTGCTTCTCCCCTTATTTCTCTCCTTGGCCACTCTGCATTTCTGTGCCTTCCTCAGTTCCCGCAGATAAACTTTTCTCTCTCTGAGCTATGTGCTGTGCTCTTTGGGGAAGCCAGAGAGAGACATGCTGGCGGACAGTGGCGTCTGTACAGGAAGCCCAAGCGCGCGTCGGAGTGGAGGAGCTCCCAGGGGTCCAGGGCTCTCCGCACTGCGCCCCCGCGCCGAGGTGACGTCTCGTCCTTGGCGTTTGCCGCTTCGGCACTGGGACGGCGGGTCCCCTCCTGCTGGAGGCCCGGGCCCGGTTTGTTGCAGTCACCACCGCGGCACTAATGCAGCCGCCGTGTGCGGGACAGTGGGAGCTCGCCGCTGTCCCCCGACTTGTTGGCTTGCCCGGCGGGACTTGAGCCCTGCGCAGTCACCTTCTGCTGAGCGAGAGGATTAGTGAGCTGTGCAGGGCCCCAGAGCCGTGGGCGCTCTGGCCGGTGATGCATCACAAGGTCGGCTGCAGACAGGCATTCTCAGGGAGCGCCTCAGCTGGAGGCCGCGCAGCCGTGAGGGGCGCACGGGGCGGGAGCAGGGGCGCTCCTGCCGCGGCTGCTGATGCCTGGGCGAGCCAGGCCCACCGAGTCCCAGTCCTCGAGGCCTTCGGAATCTGGGGCTACGGCCTGGAATCTCGCGAGTCGGTGGATTTTTGACCCAACTCGCAAGCTGTAGAACCCAAGGTCTGCATCCAACATTCTTAAAGTTAAAGGACTGTGGGATTTCATCAAGGAGCATGTAAGTGAATATATAAACAAATGCGCTCTGGTCATTTCTCCAAGGAAAGATGGCCATGTAGGCACTCGTTTCACAAAATACGCCTTTACTGCCCTTCTGGTTGTCCTCATCAAAGGTCTCGTCTTTCTAGACGCTGCGCCAGTTTGGAAAGCAAAGCTGGAGATACTCGCCCCAGTCCATCGGCTCGCGAGGGGCGGTGGCTTCCTCCCATCGCCATCACCGGCGCCGCTCCGCCCTGTCTTAGCTTCCTTCCTTGCTTCTGGGTGGCTCCAGTGCGGGGTGGCCTTGGGGTGGCAGAACAGACAGGGCCCTTGGGGACAAGACGCACGAGGGTGGGGTGACGGTGCGGCAGTCGCTGGCCTTTGGGGCGTTACCATTGGCCTCCCAGGAGCACTGGCCTCTAATCTACATGCTGTTCTCGGGAGCCGCGAGGCCTGGAGGCTGATGAAATCACCTTATTGTGTGTGTCAGGTCCTTCCAGCAGAAGAGCCCCAAGGCCCGAAGGGAGAAGTGGGGTGACGTCTTTGTTGCCTCTCTGTGAGGCGCATCAGCCCCCCTACCTGAAACACTTCCATGGCCGCCTGGGCCTGCACTGCGAAGGCCCCCCACAGCCCCTCATCTCAGGCCATCGCCTCGCGCTGGTCCCGGTGCCCGAGCACAGCCGCATGTTGCTGCCCTTTCTCCTCAGACTGAGCTCATAGACCTGTCCACGGTGGACGTCATCCTCATCTCCAACTACCACTGCATGATGGCGCTGCCCTACGTCACCGAGCACACGGGCTTCAGCGGCACGGTCTACGCCACAGAGCCCACCGTGCAGATCGGCAGGTGAGCCCACAGCCTGTCGTGGAAGGCGCTGCAGAGCGCCCCCCTCGGGGGTGACCGCCCGCCAGAGTCAATCCCAGGGCCTGCGTTTCCTCGGGCTGCTGACTGTGGTGGGCCCAGAGGCAGCGCTCGGAACCAGCCGGGTGGGGTGCGGCCCAGTGATCACTGCATGCGTCTTCATCTTTATGTGTCATGAAAACTGGGAGACGGCGCCGGGTGTGGTGAGCTGGGCGGGGGGGACCCGTGTTTAAAGCCAGCCGCCCCCGGGCGGGCAGACCCCTCTGTGAGCAGCGGAATTGAGCGCTGGGAGTCAGGCCCTGTGAGGTGGGTTCTCACTGGACCGCGCTGCTGGGGCTGGGGGAGGGGTGAGGCCCGGGCCCTGCTGCCCCGCATCTCCCTTGCATCTCCCTCAGGCCCTGCCACACCTTCCTGTGACCATGGTGGCCACAAGGACCCGTAGGCTCTTTATTCCTGAAGTAAATAAAGGCGGGGGGCGCTGTGGACTCAGCTGGGGTTCATGCAGCCTCCGGCGGCGGGCAGCCCCAGAAATGAAGCTGGACTCTCGCATCCGTGCCAGGCCTGTTTCCTGCCGCCCAAGGGAAAGCACCGGAGCCTAAAGCCAGCAACAGCGCCCTGTCCAGGCAGGGCGGTGCCCTGGGGGGCGCAGGGCCTCACGCGCCAGACTGACGGGCCGGGCTGGGACTGGGCTTGTCAGGAGGAGGCGGAGGCAGACAAGCTCTGCTCGTGCGCTCTGGTGTCGGGAGGACTTTCCCAGTCCACTTCTGACAATTCCTCGCCTTTTCTGTTGCAACTCAGGCTTCTCATGGAGGAGCTGGTGAACTTCATTGAGAGAGTGCCCAAGGCCCAGTCAGCCTCCCTGTGGAAGAACAAGGATATTCAGCGGTGAGTGCAGGCTGCCCCTCCACTGTGCTGGGCCTTGCAAGCCGTTTGCTTCTTTCTTTGCTGTCAGAGCAGATTCTCTCTCCCCGGTTGTATGAAGGGGCCAAGTCTGAGTCAAGCCCCCTTCTCGAGGGCAGCCTGCCATAAGCAGGCACTGCTGCAGCCCTCAAGTTGCAAAGCCTAGTGAACCCCTGGCTCTCTGAGGTGCTCAGTTTTCATGGGAAATCAGACAGGCAGGTTACAGGTGAGTCTTGCACGCCAGCTGTTAGATGCTTCATCCAGCGCTGTCCCCGGAGGTGAGCTCTGAGGTGAGCTGAGGACTTCCCTTGGGAGTGACAATTAGGGTGGGTCTCGGAAGGTGAAAGGGCCTTTCAAAAAGAAAAGATCAAGAAGTGGGGCTTCAGCATAATGTAGTGTATTTGGGGTGCAGCGTTCGTTCATCTGACCCCTCAGCTTTTCAGCTCTCAGAAGAAACAGCCTGGGTAGTTGATTGACTTGGTATAGGCCACCCCACCCCAGGGGACAGGTGGTCTGGAGCCGACCCAGGCGGTCAGGCCACTCAGGTCCAGAGTCAGGCCCTCAGCCACTGTGCTGGCCCCTGTGTCCTTCTCTTGGGGGGGGGGGGGGGTCATTTAACTGCACATGTTCGCCTGTGTTCTATGGATCTTTCATGTCTGTTCCCTAAGTTTGGGGATATGGTGTCTGGAGAGCTTCAAGCCTGGAAGCGTTCCAGGCTCTCTTCTGTCTGCACCAGAGTGCCTGTCTGTGTCAGCCCCCCACCTGTGGAGCGCAGCACCCTGCCTCTGCATTTGGCGTTCCGGCTCTCACCGCCTGCGTGGTGGTGCCCGCTGCCCGTGCCTGGTCTCCCCACATGGGCTCCTGCGCCTGCCTCCTGGGCTTTGATTCCGCCCCTGTGGATGGCGACGCCTTGGCTGTGGAGCTTCCTCCTTTTAAACTTAGACCTTTATATTATTTTCTGCTGCAAATAATTTTAGCACACCAGAAGTGATGTCCTGAGGCCGCTGTTTCCTGGCTCCGGACCCTAGGCCGAGTCCTCATTGGGTCTTGTCTTCAGTGACCTTGGACAGAGGCCTTGGCAGTTTCCCTTTGCCACCCGTTTTTGTAAAATACAGGATAACTGTCTCACACAAACTTCCACTGTGGATTGTGAGAAGGGTGGATGGAACCTGCAGGAGCTGAGAGCTGGGGAGGGGCCAGCGAGGAGCTTAGCAGGGTGCTGAGGAACAACCTTTTAAACCAGTTGCTGCGTTGAGCTAAGCCTGGAATTTGCCAGACCGCCCCCTGGTGGACAAGAGCCGGAAACGGTTGCCAGCACACATGGACGGGGCGGGAATAACTTTTGCCATGGGAGAGACCAAGTTGCTTGAGTGTGTTGCTGATTCTGGTCAAGTATTTCGTTTTGAGCACGAGATATACCATGCTTGGTAGAAGAGTCTGATCATTTGAAAACAATTTGTTGAGATGTTAGCGACCAACCAAGAAGCTGGGCCCCCTTTTCTCCAGAATAAATTCAGCATCAGTATTTGAAGCAGAAGTTCTTAGGGAACATTCACCTAGAGCATCCTAGCCTGGATCAGGATATTAAAAATACTTCTTTGGACAACACACATGCTGAAAAATTTATGTCCCTTTTGAATTTCTTTGTCATAAGCCAGCCAATGTCAGGTTTTCCAAAGCTGTTTCTTGCTGAGTCCACTGATACTTCCCCCAACTGCTGTGGCCTGTGTCTTCTCTTTGGGCTTTCATGCTCTTTTTATTCTTTAACTCCTGCATTCTGAGCCATTTTTCTAAAGGAGGCGCCACGAGGTCGGATCCTGTGGGAAGGGGATAGCCGACCGCTCGGAGCCATGGACGTGCCGTGTGGCGCAGGGGCCCAGTCCTGCCGATGCTGCTGCCTTTTTTTTTTTTTTTTTT